ATATTATATAAATTTTGATCTATATGAATAAGGTATCAAATCTTAATTTAATATAAAATTTTGATACCTTAAAAATTAATCATTTAATTAAAAAATATTGAGCGGTATAATTGTAACAGCCCAATTTTCACTGGGCCAAGAGCCTAATTAAGGTGGTTTAGAAGCCCGGAACGGGCCATTCTAAATTACTAAATAGACCTACATTTGGTAGCCCGGAACGGGCCATTCCGAAATTGGAACGGGTCGTTCCAAACTATTTAATTTGACTATGATCCTTAGTTGGGAACGGGCCGTTCCCAATTGGAACGGTCCGTTCTGGATTTTAGAAATGGCCTTTAAACCTTATTGAGAACGGGCCGTTCTGGTTTCAGAATGGGCCGTTCCAAATTATGACTGTTGAGAGTTTTTAATGCAAACCCAGAACGGGCCGTTATGTTTTGAGAACGGGCCGTTCTAGATGTAATTTTTACTCGTGTTTTAAGGGTCCAGAACGGGCCGTTCTGGATTTGGAACAGGCCATTCTGGAGACATTTGATCCTATAAATAGAGCACTTTGGCACTCCCAAAAGCACACTTTTCACTTCTCTTTTCTTTTCTTCCTTGCTCTCTTCTTTCCTTCTACACTCTCTGGAGACCGAGAGGCACTCAGAGGAGGAGACCAATGAGATCTCTATTTTAGTTTCAACTACTGTTTATCCAGGTAGGGGGGGAAAGGGGATTATTTATATGTAGAGTTACATGAGGGAATTGGGTAGAGGAAGAGTCTTTTAGGATTATAAGTAAATTTATAATTATTTCTGTTTGGAGAATTATTGGTCTTATGTGATTCTGTATATATTTAGGACTACGAATATATGATTTATTTGTAAAAATGATGCTCTGGGAGAGAGAACAAATTTATAGAAAAGTGCATGTAAGTTAGGTTTTGGAAAAATTGGATTATTTCTGTTTAAGGAATTAATGATTCCATTAGAATGTATATGTATTGAGGATTAGAAATATGCTAATAATTTGTACAAATGATTTTCTGGGAGAGAGAACGAAATTGTAGAAAAGTGCCTGTGAGTTAGGTTTTGGAAAAATTGGGGGTTTTATTGTTTGGGTTAAGATTATATTAAATTTCTAATTCCATTGATTATTATACTAATTTATGAATGTTATTATTATATTATTTGATAAAATTGATGATTTAGAAGAGGATTCATGGTGAATTACTTGAGGGGTATGTGAACCACTATTTTGTGTGGATTGTGTATGTATTGCGGAATTGAGATATGGATGTGAATGTGGATGTGGATGTGAATGTGGATGTGGATGTGAATGAGAATGTGATTGTGGTTCCTCACACTTGTGACCAGGGGTGGCACAACCTTAGGCAAGAAATGCTACAGGCGTGACCTTGTCATAGTATGGGATGGGTGATTCCTCATGCTTATGTCAAGGTTGGAACGACCTCGAGCAAGAGATGTTGCAGGCGTGACCTTGGCACAGTGTAAGATGTGTGATTACTCATGCTTATGTCGAGGGTGGCACGACCTTGGGCAAGAGATGCTACAGGCGTGACCTTGGCATAGGGTGGGATGTGTGAAGCAATTAATGCTTATGTCGGGGGTGGCACGACCTCGAACAAGAGATGCTACTGGCGTGACCTTGATTGATAGAAGGATGATATATCTATAGAAATGCTTATAAATAACATTCCAAGTTATGATGAAATGATGTTGTGGATTTCCTTGTTTGCTTTATATATACATGTTTTCTTTTCTCACCGTACAATTTGTGGATGTTTTAGGTGAGGAAGATCCAGCTATGAGTGGCATCTAGAATGTCAACCGTTGAGTTGTGGGTGTGCTCTGATATTGTGACATCGGGGCAAAATTCTAGGATAAATTTTTATATGTATTTAGAGTTATAACTTCTCTTTTGAAAGTAATTTATAAACTCTCAAGTTTTACTTTCTATATTTCATTTTTAATTATTTTGGTTATTTATGAAGGTTTTATGTGAACCCATTTACCAACGTTGACTATTTTATTCTTTAGTTTATTTACAAGATTTATTTATATATGTGTTGGGGGTAGTAAGGGTGTCACATTTAGTGGTATGAGAGCAGGTCGATCCAATCGGCCGTGAGTTATGAGTCTACTATGCTTGTTTGGTAGATAATTGATGGAATGAATTGATTGTGGAATTTGTTGATATGTTAGTGCAATGATTGATTAAGTTTGTTGTTTATTTAATTAGAGTATAATTGTTAACTTTTCTGGAGATCAGAAAAGTAATGGCAGGAGGTAGGAACGATCATGCAATCGCTGATGCTTTACAAGCGATGGCTCAGGCTCTTGGTAATTTGAACCAACGACCAGAGGTAGATTGGCTGGAGAGATTCTAGTGAAATAATCCACCAAGCTTCCGTGGAGGTTATAATCCTGATGGAGCTGCTGACTGGATTTTTAAAGTTGAAAAGATATTCCAAGCTATGGGATGTCCTTTGATACAGAAGGTGACTTTGGCTGCCTTCATGCTTTCTGGAGTGATTGCCTTCATGCTTTCTGGAGAGGTTGGCATCTGGTGGCAAGGTGCTTTGCAAAGAATGATGGCTGCAGGTACCCAAGTGTACTGGGAGAATTTCAAACAGCTATTCTTGGAGAAATACTTTCCGCGAGATGTGAGACATAAGAAACAGGTGGAATTCCTTGAGTTGAAGCAAGGAAAAAATTTTGTGGCTGAGTATGTGACTAAGTTTGAAGACTTGGTCAGATTTTCTCCTATGTATGATGGTGTGGGCAATGAGGAGGACAAATGTGTGAAGTTTGTGAGTGATCTTTTCCCTGAGATTAAACAAGTTTTCAATTACCAAAGGATTACTCAATATCATGATCTGGTGAACAAGTTTCGAGTCTATGATGAGGACAACCGTGTTAGAATAACTCATTATAAGAGTGGAGGACCCATGAGGAATCATAATAAGTTTGGGTCATCTAGTAAGGGTAAGCTTTACACCAAGTCTATTGGAGATTCGAGTTCTAAAGTGAATAACCAAGGTTCTTTACAACAAAGGAGTCAAGCTCCAATGACTAGCCAAACTTCTAAAGGGGGAAGTGTGGGTTCTGTTCCACACAACAATTACTTCAAATGTGGAGAACCAGGTCGTAGGGCATATGAGTGTCAGGTATCAAAAGTAATAACATGTTTTAATTGTCAAGAGAAAGGACATAAAGCTCGTGAATGCCCTAAGAACAAGAAAGGAACAACAGAAGTTGGAGGGAGCACTAGCAAACCTAGGGCTATCGGAAGGGTGTTTGCCTTGAGTGGTGCTGAAGCTACTCAATCCAAAGACTTAATCCAGGGTATGTGTTTCATCGATGGAACTCCTCTAATTGTCTTGTATGACTCTGGTGCGACTCACTCTTTCATATCGCATGCGTGTGTGTCCAAATTAAAATTACCTGTCTCTACTTTGTCTTTTGAATTAATAGTAAAGTTTTCTATAAACTTAGTACTAGGAACAGGACCTATTTCTATTGCACCTTATAGGATGTCACCCGTAGAGTTAGTGGAGTTTAAGAAACAAATAGAAGACTTGTTGGAGAAGGGGTTTGTGAGGCCTAGTGTATCACCTTGGGGAGCATCCGTACTCTTAGTTAAGAAGAAGGATGGTAGCATGAGATTGTGTGTAGATTATCACCAATTGAATAAGGTAACCATTAAAAATAAGTATCCATTGCCTAGGATAGATGATCTTATGGACTAGTTGGTGGGTGCTTGTGTATTTAGTAAAATTGACCTTAGATCAGGGTACCATCAGATTAGAGTTAAGGGTGAGGATGTACCTAAGACAACATTTAGGACTCGTTATGGACACTATGAGTATCTAGTAATGCCTTTTGGTGTGACGAATACTCTTGCAATTTTTATGGATTACATGAACCAAATTTTACATCTGTATTTGGATAAATTTGTAGTTGTCTTCATAGATGACATACTAGTTTATTCCAAGACTAAAGAGGAGAATAAGGAACACTTAAAAGGTAGTACTTCAAACCCTCAGGGAGAGACAACTTTATGCCAAGTTGTCTAAGTGTGACTTTTGGCTAGAGGAGGTGAGTTTCTTAGGACATGTGATTTCAAGTGGGGGTATAGCAGTAGATCCATCTAAACTTGAGGCGGTGCTTAAATGGGAGACACCTAAGTCAGTTAGTGAGATTAGGAGCTTCCTTGGATTGGCTGGATACTATAGAAGATTAATAGAGGAATTCTCTAAGTTATCATTACCCTTGACAAGTTTAACTAGGAAAGGAGTTGTGTTTGTATGGGATAGTAAATGTGAGAATAGTTTCCGAGCCCTTAAGGAGAAGTTGACTAGTGCACCTGTTTTAGTGTTGCTTGACCTTAGTAAGACTTTTGTGGTTTATTGTGACGCTTCTAAGATAGGTTTGGGTGGAGTGTTAATGCAAGAAGGAAATGTCGTATCTTATGCATCTAGGAAATTGAAAATACATGAGAAGAATTACTCCACCCATGATGATAGAAAGAGTAGGAGAAGGGATGAACAAGTTCCTCCTAAGCTCCTCCTAGGCACGGATCCTCTTTGATGGAGGACCATCCTTGAAGACACATGTGGG